TCAATTAATCTCAATGCATTAGGCATGTTGATAACAGTTGAAAAATCAAAAACAAAAGTAAATAAAATAAAATATGTAATTAAATTATATTTTAAGGAATTTATAATTAAGTTTGTTATGGAAGAGCTGGGAACCCTGACACAGGTATATTTTTTACTTAAATGGGTTCCCAAATCTTACAGATTGTAATGGATATGTACTTAAAATGAATAAACACATTTTTATTTTTTTTATAAAAATCAGACCTCAATCAAACATGACTTAAAGAAATAGAAACGTTCATAATAAAGGGTTAAAAGGCTTATGTGTTATGTGGATAGACACTTGCTTGGCTTCCAAGTGCGATACAGCCTTCTAAAGTACACCTTTTTCTTAAAGGAAGGTCGATTTTGTAATAATGTGAACTAAGATTGAATTTTGCACAAATATTTTGTATTAATGTTTTTTTTTCTTTTCAGGTAAGATACATTCATCAAATTTGAGAGGATAGTGGTAAATCTTATAAATCAAATATTTTTAAACTCAGAGCTTTAGCATGCTACTTTTGGAAAAAATAATAATTAATTTTAATTTGATAATATTATAATATATTTGAATAAATTGATGATGTAGTAATAAAATAAAAAAAATACTATAATAATATGATTGATAATGTAATATATAACTACTATGTAAAATTCTATTAAATGTAGAAAATATTTTGAAACCATATTTTGCAAATAAATTATTATTTTTGTTCATTATAGACAATAATGTCAAGAGCTTTCAAAAGTAACTTATTTATTAACATTAATGTCAAGTTTATAAAAACATCGCAAATCATTTGATTTGTCTAACTAAAATGATTGCATAACTTAAAAAATTTTCTTTCCGTAGGTATCTTAACTAATAATCATATCATATCTTAATAATAATCATAACTATATGTAAATGTCTAAGCTATAAATAAACTGTTTTAGCTAGTCTAGTCATCAGCGAAATCATTTTTGTTTGCAATAACAGTGATATTAGACTTTCAGTTATTATGGGGAACAAGTTTTCCGTCCTGTTTTATGCAAATCGCTTAAGCTCCATAAACAAGCACTTTCTATGAAAATGGGTTTTCTTAACGGAAGTCACTCGCAATGCCGTTGAGGACGCGACAAAGTGACGATTAATCACTCTACCTCTTAAGATCGTAAAACATTGCCTCTCAACGATTGAAAATATACGGAAGTTTATCTTTTATAATACACGCTACTTTTTACTGCTGCTTCGCGGAGTTTCTGACGGTATTTGTCCATGGCTGGTGCTATCATGTAAAATCAGAGCTCTGTTCTTAGTTCTTAAGTCTTATGTTTCATGAAGACAATTTTTATGTTCTAATATAATTGATGTGTATGTGTGTTACATTTGTGATGTCATATTTTCTTGTAATTTTTATGCATACACATTGTTTTAGAACTTATAAATTAAAAACGTGTGTATACTTATTTACACGCGTTAGAAATTATACTTTGGCGTAAAAAGACAAAAATCTTTTCAAAAATATTATTCCACGTTTGAAGAAAAAACGACACTAACAATAGAAAAAAACTAAAATGTTGACTATAGGTAACTTCAGGACTGTGACTTCAGGTGTCGGTATTTTATGACGGCGCATCGTAAAAATTTACCCTCATAATTTTTCCCTAACGTGCCAAAAGAAGTAAAACTTCAAAAAATAAATAGTCAATAATTACTAGAGAATTAATACAGTAATCAAAAAACCAAAGAAATACTTTAATAAATACTTACAATAATTTAGACTTAACTAAATATAACTATTTATCCCCGATATTAGATGAGAAAAATAATCTTCGAGTGGGCCGTATGACTTCCGATCAAAAGCTGGGGTTTTTTTATAAAGCGGGGGTGTGGTAGTGGGGTACTGGTATTGGGGATGTGGGGCAAATAAATTAATAGTCAATGAATGATACTAAAAGGCTCCCAATCCCATTTAATAATATAGTGAAGGCATAGTTGACACTGCATTGTTGTTACTTTGATTAAGACGAAACTGGTTATTAAGTATCAACCGCATTTATTTCCCCAAGTACCAAAAAACAGCGTTACGGTTATTAAGAGAACTACATCGTAACGCTGTTGCAATTGGAAGTTCAAAGTAGGGCTGTTCTAAGTTGAGAAGTGTCATTATGTAGTATCTAAAACATAGATTTGAATTTCGGCCTGAATTTCCTTGTGATAATTGGTTGATTTTAGATAATATTTATAAAAATCAGTTCTTAATTTATCGTGTTTTCAAATTGAATATTCTCCTGGTTTAGGATTTGTGTGTTAAAGTTAGGAAGAGAATTCTCGTTTAAAACCTACCCTCAAATGAAAAACGTTTTTTGTTGTACCTTCAAAGTGCTTACCCATATGTTTTCATAGGGACACACGTCTCATCGATTATAGTACATCTCTTTCACTCTTCAGTGAAGCAATTGAGACAATACATCGCTATCGCTGCAATGGAAATGTCTCGAACACAAAATACCTAATGGATCTTAGAACTCTTAAAGATAAGGTATCTTCATACATACGATACTAGTTTCCTTTGAAAGGCAAAAGTTTTCAATTCAGACAAGTTTTCCCATATCAAAAAGGAGGGTTTTATGGCATGACATGGCTATGTTAATTTTATAGGAGCACTATCAATACCCATCTCGTGGTAGTGGAAAGTCTAGGTACTAAGTCGAACTATAGATATAATATTTTTGTTATAATAAAAGTTTCATTTTACTTAGTTTTCATAGTATTTAATTACTTCCTTTCAGATTATAATCTAATCAATATACAGATTTTACTCTACAACGAATATATATATATCTAATACATTTTTAAATTTGTAACATCATCTACGTAGAATGTCCGAAATTAGTAAATTTAAAAATACTCTACAGGTATTGAAACATTCTTGATTTCAAGTAGGTAATTAAAGATTTTTTAAGCTATTGCATAGATTTTGTCGCGGGCTTTGAGCGCGGCGACCGAATCAAGAAATTCCGTAACGAAGAAAACCTTACACACGATGACGTAATATAGGTACAGCCGGTACGCGTTAGAGTGAGACAGACTATATAGGCGTTTTAGTCTGGGTGTGGTAGAGTGGTAGATAGAAATAATATCAAAGAAAAAACTTGAATTTTTAGCTTGATCATTATAAATTGTTAAATATATGCTAATTCTTCGAGAATATATTATATATATTAAGAGAAGATATTTATTTGTAGAGCTTCAGTGTCTTACAACTTGTTTTGTGGCAGCAAAATAATTTGATGTTCTGGAGTTCCGCCTCGGGATAGGTCAACAATTGCCCATGGGTAAACATTCCTTTTGTAGATATTGATACGTTCTATAATACTGTAAACCATTTTTTTGTACTATCATCAATAGCTTCCACAGCGCACGCAATGACAGTTTTTTTATGAATAATTTTTTCACACCTTTGTTTATATTATTGCGCTTTTATTAGGGATCCCTTTTAATAGCATATGCAGTGATGCAGCTTTCTAATGGTAAAACAATTTTTGAAATCGGTCCAGTAGTTTTTGTGTGAAAACATTACAAACATAAATACAAAAACACAAATATTTCCTCTTTATAATATTAGAATAGATTAGGAGGCCTGTAGTACTTGCTGTACTGGGTGATCGCGTAGCTTTTAATATATTATAGAACGTACTACAGCTGTGAGATAATGGACATTCGTTTTTAGAGCTCTTTTGGATGGGTCGAGGTTTTTCCATTTGGCTTCAATTACTTGTTCAAAATTAGTTTTCCAAGCTGTGTGTTTGTTTACTTAGCAAGAGAAAATGTTCGTAGGCGTATTTATTATCTAATATATAAAATTCTCGTGTCGCGGTGTTTGTAGTTAAACTCCTCCAAAACGGCTTGACCGATTCTCATGAAATTTTGTGTGCATATTGGGTATGTCTGAGAATCGGACAACATCTATTTTTCATCCCACTAAATGTTAAGGGTAGTTAACCCCTAAATTATTATTTTTAAATTTTTAGATAAATTTTTATTTTTTAATTATTTTCTGATACAGCATTAAAAAATACATACAACCCCTAATTTTCACCCCTCTACGATCAACCCCTTTTTTAATATAAATGATATAATGGAAAGAGTAGGTGTAGTATTCGTATTTCATATATGAAATTATAAATAGCATTTTTATCTGTGGTGTGATTTAAATTGAAACAAATGGATATTATTTTATAGCTGATCTGTTATCAAAAAAATATATAATGACACTTCAATTTAACTGAATTTTAAATGATTTTTTTAATAAATAACTTACTCAATGACGGAAAGTGAATTCAGTGAACCCTGTTTTGTGTAAGTTATTCATAAAAAATAAAATAATCAATTTGATTGTGTATAACAAATGTACTCGTCTGTCTCTTTTCTTTTCATCACAGCGTCAACACAATTTGACAGATAGAGACGTATTCATTCTAGTTCCGTTTTTTATTATCTGTTGACATATCTCGAATAAAAACAAGCACATTTGTGCGGAAACCTCACATGTTCGTGAGTTGTGTGTGTGAGCCAATATTTGGTTTAAATTCCAGAATTCTACTAACATTACACTTGGCTCAATTTATTTGCCCTATAAGATGAAATTGATTACCGAACTTAATGAAAATCCAAACACATAAGCACATCCTTCAACTTTAAGGATCATTGTTCGAGCTTTTTATTCCCCAATTTCAACAATGAAAGCTTCCGAAGCTCCCCCAACGCGAAGAACTTCGCAATAACAAACTCCACCTGTGTCGGGCACAATTTCTAACGAACCCAAAGTTTTCCTTTGAAATCTAACGCTGGCCCTTAAACCAGTTTTCCAATTACATTATTCTGGGTAATTTCATTTGTTTTCATTAGTAAGTTAGTATTTACGATCATTAAACCAAATTTCTTAAGTAAAAAGAACGAGTTCCCTTAGCTCTAAGTGTGACTGCTGTATGTCAAATATGTATGGTATTTTGACATACGGAGGCTGTCGCATTAAGAGTTTTTAAGGTATTCATCTTCTTAGTCGTATTCTTCATCACTGTAAGGCTGCTATCCTTCCTGCTACCCTGCAAGTAATATCTCTCCAGTTTATTCGGTCTGTAGCTTCCCTCAGCACTGCTGTTATGGAAGAGACCCGTGAGAATCGTGACTTGGTCACACCAGCGGGTTTGCGATCTGTCCCGCGGCCTTTTGTCTTCCACCTTGTCGAAGACCACCAGCTCGTCCAGGTTATCTGGTTCGCGACGGGCGAAAATACCAAAGTAGGAACTCTTCTATAGCATATTGTTGAGTCTTGTCAACTCGAACGAACTCTAAGGCACTAGATTTTAATTAAAGCGTTTGTAATTTAGATGTCAATATAGCGTTATCAGTTTCATATATTACATATACTTTTATGAAAAAGCCTAAAAAACTAGTATTCATGCAATGCTTAAATTTGACCATTGATTTAATAATGTTATTACAATTACAACACTCTTTACAGCAATCCAAAAATGCCTGGTACGCCGTTGTGAATTGGTAGGTACATAATAGAAAAAGGTTGTTCCCAAGAAGAAACTTTTAGTTCTTCTGAGAGTAAATTCTAATCTGTTTTATATTAAGGAGATTCAAGCCGGAAAAGTTGATGCAGCAACACACAGAAAATTCTGCACATTCAATGTAATAATTTAAATAAATTGCAAGTAAATACCAGCATGCAACCAATTTAATGATTGGCAATTTTGAGGCGACTCGCGTGACGATAAATTTGAAAATTCACTGATTTTACACTGATTCAATAGCTAATTATACTGTTTAGTTACACGTGAAAGTGCGAATTATATGCGTCGTTGGCTTATGTATAAGTGGATATTAATATGGATTAAGTATTTAAAATTTTTAAACATAATATAGTTGTATGAATTACGTATAACAAATACTATCAATATTTTTTCAATCAAGGATCTGAATGAACTGGAATGAATGATCTTATTGGTATTATTACCAAAAATAAAGAATGGTTAAGAATATTGTAATTCCCCGACTATGTGGCAGTGTAGCTTTAATGCTGGCAGCATTTTGTCGCTGTATTGGGATACTTATTTCTTAAGTGAGGAAAGCACCAGCTCTGAGGTCTACCAGGCGCCAATTTAATACTTTGATTAGCGCTTGAGCACTTGAGCCCAACGGCCCAATAGTCTCTACTCCAAAGGGAACAAAGTAGGGAGAAGGAATATTTTTTCCTTTTATTGTTTTCCTCCTTTTTAGCGGCTGCCCCAGTTTTTGTGCCTGCAGATGGAGGTGAGACAGGGCTAACGTGTCCACACAAGTAGCGTCCCATACCTAAACCCGTCCCATCCTCCAAGTGATCAAAGACATCCCATCCCTAGCCTCTCGGCTCCAAAATAGCTGGAATATGGACGGAGTTAAGACCGACGTATGATGTCGCTGAGCGCGGCGTGAGAAAAATGATGAATTCAATGATTACCTTACTTTATTATTCTCTTTGCTTTACGAGAGTTATGCATTTATTCAAATAAAAAATTAATCAACCAGTTTAGCGGCAAATGCAAAACGAGGTTAAAATTAACTTTTGCTGCATAACGTGGCCACTTCCACCGTAAATAACTTATGTTCCTAAGTATGTATAATTATCATCTTCCAGAACGTGTTTCAAGTCTGTGTGACTAACTACATACATATTTTGAAACTGAAAAAATACAAATCTGCCCAAAAACTTTGCCCTAATTTAATTAACCAAATTTTTGTTAAGCTTATCCAGTAATGAGTAAGTTTTTTTTTTTTTTTTTTTTTTGTAATAGGAGGCAAACGGGCAGGAGGCTCACCTGATGTTAAGTGATACCGCCGCCCATGGACACTCACAATGCCAGAAGGCTCGCAAGTGCGTTGCCGGCCTTTCAGGAATTGGTACGCTCTTTTCTTGAAGGACCCTAAGTCGAATTGGTTCGGAAATACTTCTGTGGGCAGCTGGTTCCACATAGTGGTGGTGCGCGGCAAAAACTGCCTTAGAAAACGCTCTGTTGTGGAACGACGGACGTCGAGGTGATACGGATGGTATTTTGTATTTTGCCTTGACGTCCGATGATGAAACTCAGCTGCAGGTATTAGACCGAACAACTCCTCTGAACACTCTCCATGGTAAATGCGGTAGAAGATGCAGAGAGATCCCACATCTCTACGCAACGCCAAGGGATCAAGCCGCACGGAAAGTGACTGGTCGTCGACGATTCGAACCGCTCTTCGTTGAATACGGTCAAGTGGAAGGAGCCGTACTGGGGAGCTCCCGCCCAGAGGTGAGAGCAGTACTCCATATGGGGCCGAATTTGCGCTTTATATAGTTGCAAGCGGTGGCCCGGAGTGAAGTACCGTCTCGCCTTGCTGAGCACACCAAGCTTTTTTGAGGCTAATTTAGCCTTTCCTTCCAGATGACCGCGAAACTGAACGTTATTCGATATGTCAACGCCCAGTATTCCGATGCTAGCTGAGGCTTTAAGGAGAGTGTCTTCAAAGAGGGGAGTAGCGACAAAGGGAGTTTTTTTAGCGGAAAACGCGCATACTTGTGTCTTCTTGGGGTTAAATTGGACTAGATTTAGTCTACCCCAGTCCGAGACTCCACGTAGAAGAGTTTCGACTTCAGACACAAGTTTGTTCCGGTACTCATCGACAACAGCCCGAGAGATACCTGCCCGGCCAGTGTAAAAAGTATCCCCAGTGCTGTCGTCCGCATAGCAATGAATGTTGCTAAGCTGCAACATATCATTGATATGCAGAATAAACAGGGTCGGGGATAGGACACAGCCTTGTGGGACACCAGCATTCACAGGTTTCAGGTCGGAGCACGCTCCGTCGATGACGACTTTGATGCTCCGATCAGCGAGAAAGCTGGAAATCCAGTTGCATAATTTCTCAGGGAACCCATAGGCTGGAAGCTTCGAGAGCAGTGCTCTGTCCAAACTTACCGCCAGCGCCTCCCCCTTGGACTCAATTGCCTCTGCCCACCTATGTGTAAGGTATACAAGGAGGTCACCAGCCGAGCGACCACGACGGAAGCCGTACTGAGAATCGCTAATCAGCTGGTGGCCCTCTAGATACCTCAAGAGCTGGCTGTTAATAATGGTTTCCATTATTTTGGAGAACAAGGAGGTTATAGCTATTGGGCGATAGTTGGACGGATCAGAGCGATCGCCTTTTTAGGGATCGGATGTATCGAAGCGATCTTCCAGCACTTCGGAACAGTGCCGAGCGTGTAGAGGTACCGGAAAAGGCGCGTTAGGACCGGAGCCAACTCAGGAGCACAAGTACGCAGCACAATTGGAGGGATGCCATCAGGCCCGCTCGACTTATGGATGTCCAAGGAAGACAAAGCTTTACGGATAGCACGTTGCCGGAATATAACTTCGGGCATCGTAGTATCACACCGCAATAATGTCGGTGGTTCCTTCCCCTGATCATCCAAAGTGGAGTTCGACGCAAAGAGACAGCCTAGAAGATCGGCCTTCTCTTTCGCGGTATGGGCAAGTGAGTCATCCTCCCTATGCAGTGGTGGAATTGAGGGCTGACAGAAATTCCCTTGGACAGCTTTGGCAAGAGACCAGAAGGCTCGAGTTCCCGAAGGGAGGTGGGCCAATTTCTCACCAAATCTGGCAATGTGCTCTGACTTTGCTTTAGCGATTTCTCGCTTGAAGGACCTGGAGGCTGAATTGTATGCTTTTTTACGTTCGCCGATATTCACATCACATGATGTCACCGCTTCTGCCCAGGCTTTAAAGCATTCACGCTTACGGCGCAAAGCCGCTTTGCAGGAACGCCTAAACCAAGGCTGGGACTTGCCACCGACCGGCACCGCAGAGAATGGAATAAAGAGTTCCATACCCTGCAGGACCACCTCGGCGACAGAGTCAGCGACGGCATCTGGAGTACTCGACGAAAAGCAAATGGGCCCCCAAGGGTAGGACGCAAAAAAGACCGCATCCCATCCCAATCTGCTGACTTATAGTGCCACACGCGGCGACAGCCCGTGAAGCTAGGCCGAAGAGGGCGCGTGAACGGCACAATGCTCCGGACCACACAATGATCTGATGAACCCAATGGCGGTTCAACAGAGACTTGGTAGTTCTCCGGATGTGAAGTCAGCAGAAGGTCCAACAAAGAGGGTTTATGACCATCCACATCTGGTATTCGCGTAATCGCAGGGACCATTTGCGTCAAGTCATAAGCCAAAGCAAAGTCGTGAAAGGATCTTCCCGCATGATCGGTGGTTTCTGAGCCGAGCCAATCGGCATGGTGGGCGTTAAAATCGCCAAGTATCACGATTTCAGCGGTAGGAACCCTTTCGAGCAGGGAATCTGTAGCCATTTGGATGTGCTCAATGAGTCGGTCAGTTTCGGTATTTCCGCTATGGGACCTATACAGGCATGCATAGAATCGCGGATGGTCATCGCAGTCTACGCGCAGCCAGAGGTTAGATAGGTCCCTTCCTTCAAGCGTCCCGAGGCGACGAGAACAGATATCCTCTCTGACGTACACGCAAACTCCCGCCCGCGGCACAAATGAATGTTCCAATTTGTACCCCGGGTTGGAGAGGTAGGAAGTATCAGCCGGGGAGGAAATCTGAGTCTCGGTAAGAAAGAGCAAGGCCGGCTTCGCAGTCTCTAAATGGTAGTGGACTGCGTTGATATTAGAATTGAGCCCCCTAACATTTGTGAAGTCCACAGCGAGCGTGGACGGGGGTGCCTTTGTTGAGTTGCTCCGTTTGCCCCGAGAACGATAACTGTTTTTGATGTTGAGCGCAGAATTGCCCCCCAGAATACGAAGGGCAGCCTGTGCGTCCACCACCGGGTGCTGAATGTCCCGGTGTTGGACGCCCAGAGGGGGATTCTCCACCGCGAGCGCGTACCCCCTGGGGGTAGATTCTCTTTTTCTGCACCTTCATATTTCATGGGGGGTGGGCTCCGGGAGTCTCTCTCACCGCACGAAACGCGAGTACAATAAAGTGAACTTATTGCATCACTTCACGCCGGTTTTCTGAGAGACAGTGGTACTGCCCCGGTCGTGCCTGCCCATTTGGCTGAAGCCCGAAGACAACAGCATGGCACTCCCACTAGGATTAATGTTATTTGAAATTAATTAGCCTAATTTGTGGTCAGCAACGCGTTGGACGCTGTATACATTTAATTGTTTAGTGGTTTTAGTCGACTGGAATCTGTGGTGTCTCTTTGGGATTAGTATAATCTGTGGAATATACCCTCCAAAAAAACGTATAATCTTACACCGCAGTATATATACGACTCGTGCTGCCACTGCCACTGAGAGATGAGTATTTAGCAATAGTTCCGGCAGCGGCAGGTGCAGTCCTTTTCTGAGATAAATTACACACACACACACATAGAGCCAGTGGAGTGCCACTGGCTCTGCGACCAAAAAGTCATGGCCTCCGAAACAGGAAACTTCCAGCGCTCCGTGCACCTGTGCCACCTCTCGCCAATTGCTGGCTTTAAGCTGCAGCAGGTCATCCACTCTGTCGATCCAGCAGTACCTGATAAGACGTATGGCCCATCTAATTATTTTACTGCTGAGATTCTGACATTATGTCGTCGACTATACCATAATAAATAATATACATGAAAAACAAAGATTGAAAAGAGTGGCGTTTATTGCCAGTTCTTCTCTTCCGTTCTAAGCCCTTGATTTGAGAACTGGCAGTTAATGTAAAATTAGAAGCATTTAATTTATATTTCTGTTTTGACGTTCATAAGTGCACATTGTGTTACCGATGAATAAATGATTTTTGACTTTTGACTGACGACATCGTCAAGGATGTTGGCTCCACGTGGATACAAAGAAGCCAGCGCAGGGCTGGAGGAAGATGATTCGTCCAGAAATGGACCCAAAAAAAGAGGCTGATCATGATAATAAAATAAAATATATCTAGTACCTATCAGTTAGAACGTGAGATATTATTGTTAAATTGAAATCAACGAAAGAAATCTACTTCAATAGACACAGTTGGAGATTTGTGCTAAATGAGACGTGAAACGTTTCGGCAAATAAGGCTTTGTTGATTTCTCTCACATTTCACATATGACTTATTGAGTTATTTGGGAATACACACATGTTATAAGGTAAAGATTAGACTGGTATTATTCCGTCGCCCATGAACACTTTAGGTGTGATCTTACTATTTGACAAAATCCAATAAATTTTCGACGTACTTAGACTTATCGTTTAGTCTCGTAATCTTACCTTTATCGGTACCTCTATCTCTATCTAGCTCCATAGTTAGATTCATACCCGATACTTACGAAACTACGTTTTCAGCACGCCAAAATCGTTAATATATCCTAATTCCAGAAGGGCGAAAAAAACTTTCTTAACGGAACATGTTGTGTTTGGAAACAAACATAACTACTAAAGAGATATCTTTTAAAAATTCAGAGTAATTGCATTCTTTTGTCTCTTTCTGTCAAATTTTGTTTACGCTGTGATCAAACGAGACCGATACATTAGTTACGGTAACCCCCCCCCCCCCCCCCCTGATTAAATTAGTTAAACAACTTGAATTATGTTTGATTTGTCCGTAAATTATTTAAAACGCCTATTAACTACGCTGTATTTATCGATCGAGTTACTTCCGTGTGTTCCTTCGTAATTAACTTCCAATGTACCGAGCGCCCGTGGCTTAAGAAATAAGCGACAACAATTTTTCTTCTTAATTACACTGAAGACCAATTTAATGGAGGCCAGAGTTCAAGCAATTTTCGCTCTTCTTGTTTGCCGACTATCATTATTTTACGTAATTTCTTCTTTAACGAGTTACGTAATTTGTTTAAGCGATAGCTCATTTGGGTTACGAAGCTGATAAGAATTTATTCGATATTTACAATTTCAACAATACACGTGATTACATTTATAAACGGTATAAGTAGAACTTTTTCTTGCATTCTTCTGTAATAACGAGCGGAACAGAAGCAGGCATCTAAGGCCAAAACCCATAATAGGGTAGCGTTATTGAACGAATGTTTGAACCAGATATGCAACGTAATTATTGATATATTTATTTAAAAAAACGTGTGTGCACTTTTTACACGCGTTAGAAGTTACACTTCTTTGGCGCAACAAGATAACAACCATTTCAAAAATTTTAATTTTCGCCTTATTCTACGTTTGTAGAAAAAACAAACACTAACAATAGAAAAAAATTGCTTTCATCATTTTTTCCTAACGCGCCAAAAGATTAGAACTTCAAAAAAACTAAAATGTTAACTAACTTCAGGGTGTAGGGGGCCTCATAGCCTAGCGGTCTTATTAAGTGGCAGCTAGGTGATTGGTACCGGGTTCGATTCCCGGTTCGAGGGCAAGTTTTAATTTAATTTTGTTCTCGGCCTTTGGGAGGGTTGTGCGGTACCGGGCGAGTGCTTAAACCGTACATGGAGGACACGGTCGAATTTCTAAAGACAAGCACGAATTATAAAAAAAATCCTATACTTGACGCTGGTTAATGCACAAATCGTAGTTAAGTTGGTAACGGTGATGAGCGGAGCACACCGAGTACCTAGCCCTCCAACTATCCTCCTCTTTGTTCTACGTTTATATATGTAACTCTTGTATTTGTTTTTTCCACCACCATATTCAAGGCGAATAATAATTTATACTGACATGACATGAGTCAAAGTGCGCGTAAAGCCTGTCCACTGAAGCTTTTGATATCGTATGCATTTTGTGTTTTTTTATTTTACGGTAAACTAAACTGAGTGTTAATTATAAATCTACCTGTCGTGTCGTTCTTTAACTATTTTTGCAGCACAACCTTTTATCATTTCCATTCGTATTTAGTCGTACATAAAATTAACTACGGAATCTTGCAAGTTCCCGACCCAGTCGGAACCTAAATAGATATTATAAGTAACTAGCTTATCCGGCAAACGTCGTTTTGACATGTTTATCATTTATAATAAAAAATAGGGGTTGATCGTAGAGGGGTGAAAATTAGGGGTTGTATGTATTTTTTTAATGCTGTATCATAAAAATAAAAAAAAATTATCTAAAAAAAAAAAAAATTGGGTTGGACTACCCTTAACATTTAGGGGGATGAAAAATAGATGTTGTCCGATTCTCAGTTATACCCAATATGCACACAAAATTTCATGAGAATCGGTCAAGCCGTTTCGGAGGAGTTTAACCGCAAACACCGCGACACGAGAATTTTATATATTAAGTAATTATAAGTTTCGAGATGTTATGAATGAATAAATCCCATCATCCTATTTATCCCTTCTATCAGAAGAACGCGTTTTGACAAACCATTCTTAATTGAGCATTCTGATAAGGGATAAGTCTGGATCTTCATAGTTGCTCACACACTGTGAAAACGATGGAAATGTTTTTTTTTTAATTGGAGATTTTTTGAATAGCGATGCCAAATCATCATCAAGTTTAAACCAGTCCTTTGAACATTTATTTGAGCTTCTATCGAATCATTTTCACCCATCAATTGAAAAAATCATTACAAAGCAAAACGCATAAATTGCCCGAGGCTGATGACTGGAAATTAACATAAAAAAGGATGGCTGTACATTCGTACTCACATTTCAAATAAATTTTGCCCGAAAAATATTCGTCAAACAAACAATAAATTTAAATAGGTCAGCATAAACCCGAGCATTGTCGGGACGCTATTAACTGAATGGAAAATGACGGTATTTTCATTTTCCTACGATTTATATAGGGATGGACCGCTTTTCATTCGCAGGAAAATTTTAAAACTATGAGCCAGGTATGCTTTTGTTGTATTTGTGTGTCGATGGGAAAAAACGTCTAAGGTCTGATTTATTGGTTGATTCTATCATGATGTAGGATTAGTAATATTTCCAACCGAATTTTCTTAAACCACCCGTAGCTACCCATACATAAAAATGTGCCAACAGATGATAGCTCACATTTTCAGTGATTTTCTGGAAACGTAGTCAGTGAACCACTACCACATCATTTTATTTTAAATTTATTTATTTATGGCTAATCTTACAGACGCTGGTCCCAACACAGGGTTATCCCTGTGTTGTGGGTGACCAGATACTCCGTGGTTCATATTATATACATGGATCAATACAATACATTTAATGACTACTGCTGCTGCTACTAATAAAATAATATTTTTATATAAACAACAATGTAATGTTATACATATAATATATGAGCCCTTAAAATAAAATACCGTATATGTGTGTGGTTTTGTATTTGTGTGAAAGGTGTTTAGTTTTATGTTAATACTGTTAAATGATTATAGGCTAGTTAAAATATTATTATAGCAACAGCTATACTGTGTATTTTCAATATTTCACTGGACTTCTAAAAAACATATATTCTGTCCCCTTGTTAATTATCATTGCTATGCTATATTACAGCACTTTAAACGTCGAATTTATACTTAAACTAAACAAATATATGTATGTACCTTTCGTAGATTTAAATCACTAGCCATCACCCTGAGCCGTCTAAAGCGGCTTTTGCTCTCACCTCACCCCTTTGTTCTTACAGTTATCTCCTTATAACGGTTGCCTTTTGGTTAAGACGTTTTAATATGTTAATCCTTAAGTTGTTTTTGAAGTTTGACAATTACGTTGTTATTACTGAAGTTTCATATTTTTCATCATAAAACGTAACTTATCTAATAAATAAATTCTCGTGTCACAATGTTCGTTCCCATACTCCTCCGAAATGGCTCGACTGATTCTTATGAAATTTTTATACACATTCAGTAAGTCTGAGAATCGGCTACTATCTATCTTTCAAACTCCAAAAAAAATTTTTTTTGGCAAAACATTTCGTTCTTATTTTTTTATGATACAACATACAAAAATACATACAACCCTTAATTTTCATCTACCCTGTACGATCAACCCCTATTTTTTATTTGTTAGTTAAGAGCTTATAACTTGTACTCTGAGGTTTATATTGAGAAAAGTCACAGAAAAGCCTAAAAATTTTCATTCCGGAAAACCGAACAGTCTCTTGGGTAGCATAGCAAAATGTTCCATGTTGGTATATACTAAAAAGGTATGCTAGGCATAAAGGAGAAACGAAGTTCGCGGGGGCAGCTAGTATTATTATATAATTAAATGAATCACTGATTTAGGTATTCCAATTCCAGTATCTCGACAATTAGAATTGAGAATTATCAGAATTGTTCATAAACATTTTTCATATAAATAAACAATTTAACAGTCATTGATGTTCTCGAATATATAATCAATAATAATTATTAAGTATATTAAAAAGTCAAAACCAGGACTCGAATACACGGATTTACATTCATGAGGCGGTTAATTACTTGAGTAACACTGCTCTTAAAACATTTTTAAGAGCAGTTTTACTTATTAGCTTATCTTTATATAATTAAGAAGTTTAAAGTATGACCGTAAACATTTTGTTTTATTCCCGGAGTTACATAATTTTCGTGAAAATTTGCATTTTACAAGGCAAGCCTGTATTATGAAATAAAAGCGTAATTTGTTAAGTAAATGAGTCAGTACTAAGAATAATGCCACGTTGATAATGAAGACGGAAGAACTGCATTTAATGTCGAATTCAACGGGTTTATTATTACTGGATATGTTATTTTAAAAGCTATCAAAGCTCTCCTAAGAAACTTCAATTTTTCTTCTTTCTTCTAAGTTACATTAATAATATTGTAAGTAAAATATTTTTGTGTGTATGTATTTCATAAATGTATCTATACTAATATTAAAGAAGTAAAATTGGATGTTGGAGACAGTAATGGATGTACTGATCTGATTTTGAAAATTCTTTTACCAATAGAAAGCGACGTTATATGAAACTTTTTCGTAGTAGGATTTGCAAAGTAAGTCGGAGAAAAGCGGTCGAACGAAAACCAAGTTTCTTATATACGCTGCCTTAACGATGAGCGATGTGAGTAATTTTTGTAATATATAAAATCCAGTCCTCCGCCTTGTCTTTCTGTGTGTCCGCGATAATCTCAAAAACTACTGTATGGAATATCTTGCGGTTTTCACCAATATCTTGAATGATTCATGAGGAAGGTACATATTATTAAAGGTTTACGGGTCACGGTTTCCGGTGCAAAAAAGTCTAAATAAATACGTAGGTACTTGATTTTGTGCTTGTGGATAAAGTGGTGCGATCGATGTGTTCCAATAGTATTTGTATATCTCACCGATCATTATTTGCTCGTACGATGAAGCATACATCTTACGGATATATGACGCGGTTAGTTGAGCGCGAGATGGTTTGCACTTTGTTTAGTTACTCGCCTTAAATGGTTGACTTCATAAAATAACATTCTAATTTCAAAAAACGTCAACTTTCGTGCTTCTCAATTTGACTTTAATCTGTGGAAATAATTCCGTTCTCGCCATTCAAATTCCTTTGCTAGACGTCACTAAGCAGGTCTAATTAAATTAATAGGAAACTTTGGCGTTCCTACGAAGTCTTTCAAAGTTGCTGCAGATTGGACGCTATGAAACTCTAGACTGCCTTTTGGAATTAAAATTATTAAGGTAGTTCTTAGTCCTACTTGTTGCTTAGTATAAGCTTTAAAGTTGCGTATGTAATGTTTTGGGTGTCATTATCATCATTTCAAGGAACTGTAAAGTTCCTTATGGGCTATAAACTTCGCAAGTATATTTCGTCATCCAAATCTATCTCATGCTTCTTACACTTCGAATACCTATATATAATATTGTCTTGAGATCCTTGAGCACTCCAATGCAACCTCGGCCTTCCGAGGTTTCTCTTGCCTCCAGGTTGTGAGCTTAGTGAGGACGTTGGAGTTCTGTCGTTGCCATTTGGTGGGACATATCCCAACCACTTAAGCCTGTGGCATTTTATGAATTGGACGATGTTGGCGTCGTCAAGGATGTCACAAAGTTCTTCATTAAAGCAAATACGCCGAACATCGTCTACGTCGTTCGAAGAATGTTCCATTCGATTATTATGAGGGAAAGCTGGTCCTTCTTGCTAAGGGCTTTGTTTTCAAAAACATAAGTTAGCACTGGTCGCAGCAGAGTTTTGTAAAGAACAAGCTTTTTTTTATTACGTCTGAGAAATATTTACTTAGGCCAAAATAGCAGCGATTTGCTATTATGATGCGTCTCTGGGATCTCTGGGATTATTATCCCTAGTCACCATTGAGCCCAAGTAAACAAACTCTTCCCTCATATACTTTGTTTTTTTCAACAATGTTTTGGGTTTTGCTAAATTATTAAGGTTTTTAAAGGCACAGAACGCTGATCACCCACTTGCCTATTAGAAATAATACAATTATTACGAAACAGATACAGAAATCTGAGGCCCAGACCCTAAGAGGTTGTCGCGTATTGTTTTAGGTTCAATGAAAATAAGTATTCACGTGTTCTGCTTAGCATTTAATTAGAAAAACATAACAGATAGGTAAAGGAAGGTGTTCACTATAACAGCAATTGAACAGCTAATGTGAAAATATAGTATAAGAAATTATTACAAATGCTACCTAACTATGAGCCGGTATAATCAAGATGCAATATACAATCCTGGCGTCCATGCGTCGAGTTGTTTCCACGAAAATGTCAGTGTGTGCTCAAATGTGTGGACAAATCTTTGTTTTTAATTTATTTTATTATTATTTATTACTAAAAATGTCATGTGGTGGTTTGTGTGTTTTTTGTGGTGTGGTTGCAGCTCCTTACAAACGTTGTGAAAAGCAAAAACTTGGCGATTAAAAAGAGTGGCGGAGAAAATTGTGTTGCCTATAGGAGGAATAAATGATTTTTGACTTTGACAATGTTTTTAAACGATCACCTCAAACGCAATCACCTTCTGTGTCAATGCAAGGCACTCTTATGATAACTAGGAACCCGTTTCGCCCCTTCTTTAAAAGCTGCGGCAATGTAGAATTATTATCTATGAAAATAACTAGTTACATTAACTTGAAGCAAATTTGTAAGTTTCTCGACATGCGAATTCTGTCAGAATTTCGGAGTTCGCAAGTAAACTTTATTGTCGTTTAATGAATAGGGAAGCAGATCCAGGACGCACTTCTGCCGTTTGGAACCTGAAAATAAAATTAATTTCTTACAAAGTTCTGTTAGATGCCAATAAGCTCGAAAAGACACTTAAAACTAATTAAGCGCTACACGAAGAAAAATTAAATCGGAAAGAAGTTTTCAATTGCGCATAATTTCTGTGACTCTTGCAATAATTGCTATTCACCTAATAAAATCTTCTTTTAAGAGGTTGAATGATAATTCGATAGACTTCGTGGTTATTTCTGGTATTGGTTATTTAAAAGTTCAATAAGGGCCAATTTCCGATGACAATTCCCACATTAAAGGATGAAATCAGTATATAATATCTATTAAAGTGTAATAACGCAATCAAAGAGGTGGGTTCCTTTGTTATAACGGTACAATTGCTGGTATAGTTTTAATATGGGTTAGTCTACAGTTTTATTGGTCTCGTGGCGGAGGACCCTGAGTTCGTTCGACGGCTTTGCATCAACAGATTTTTTGAGCGTATATTTCTACTCGGTCATATGGTGAACGAAAACATCGTAAGGAAACCTGATCATGATGGATATTCGGTGTGCCAGGCACAAAAGGCTTATCACCTACTTGCCTATTTAAAAAAAAATATTTTTAATCCTGTTTATCTAATCAATTGTTTACATAATACAATTTATATTATACTTATTACTCGTTGTCGCCTCCTCCAGCCTTTTCCCAACTTCTCTATATCTTCTATCCACCTCCCTAGATCCACCACCCTATCTAAATAGCAGAAAACGTTCCTTCTCTTTCCCGTTGGTCCTTTAAAATCCATCTTTTATCCGTGCGTCTCGCTATACGCCCACTGCCAAAAAAAGATTAAAAGATAATTAAGGCCAAGACCAAGGATAGCTTCAGTTGTTTTATTATAAACACAAGCTATAACTTACGGTAGATATGGTGTGATTGTAGTTTAATAATAAATGAATGCATGTCCTCACCCAAGGTCCGATCTATTTATATTGGATAATTCATCAAAATCACTTTAGATTGATTGAACAAGTCCACGTCATCGACTCCGTGGAGTAAGGACGTATGTCCTATTTAAAGTAGTATATTTTTTCATACAAGTAATTTTAACATATGAAAATATAAAAATATTATTTTTAGACTTATATGAAACATGTTTAAATAGTATCCACTTCTAACCTTTGGTGGAATGAAACTTTGCAAATAAAAACCATGCCTTATTAATATAATAATTCTAATAAAAACTTTATTTGTGACAAAAGGGTTGTGACAATATTCATATATAGCTATTCCCCACACTAGGGAGCTCCCTGTGCTGTGGGTAAAGATGAAATTTTTTCCATGGTACATGTTTAAAACAGTTAAAAAAAAAGTAATTTTAGTTTTATAACTATGTCTTATTTAAAACATTAACTATGAGTGAATGTGTCAGTGTGTGAATGGGTGTGTATGCACCAGAGTGTAGCTGATTACTGAAAGCAATGTTTAGTAATGTGTGCTTTTTTTTGGTGATTCCTACGATCAAAGCTCTATTCCAATAAAGGCTGTTGTATGCAATACATTTACGGTGAATAATTGCGAGATAACTGGAAGGGAGATAAACAAAAAGGTGTATCATTCGCCTCTGAACTTGGCGTGACGAATTCCTATATGCTAAACCTATCCTACGAGGCCTTGGAATATTTATGATCGAAATCCAAACTTAACACTTAAGTCAAATACCTCATTATCAATTTACACAGTGATATAACGATACTGATTTTTTCTTATTTTTTTCAGGTAAGCCGCAAATTTTAAGAAATGTCCCATCATCGTAAGTTAAGTACTATTTGACACATAAGCAATGTCACGAATAACTTGTTTTCGACATCCAAGTGCCTATCGGCCTCTGTTCTTTTCTTTACTGCACCCCATTGCCTAAACACCAGTCGGTATCTCTTACCATACTCAAGTGAAGAGGGATACATCTTCACATCCTCCTGCGCAGCAGAGACGACTTGCAAACGGCACGAGGTCACTCTTCTTGTTGCCTTTACGCTTGTGCTTACGATTTGTGGTCTTCTCATACAGAGGCAAGGTAAGAGACGGAGGACTAATGGTGCGTTTTTGGTATTTCTACGCCGCATTCCACTTGCCCCTCGGTCTTCTTTTCTGCCTTCGCCGCTGCATAGCTGAACGTTTTAATCTGTAGAGTTTTGAATGAGTGATCCGTTCTGACGAATTATTAGCCTTAACTTCCACATTTTAATAAATACAATGCGATTAAAACAACTTTAGCAAAAACTAAATTTTCGCCATATAATACGCAAGATTAATGAATGAGCGATCCTTTTTAAAGAATCATTAGCTCTTGATTCTCAATGACCTACATTTAAATGATTACAAGCAACTATTACAAAAAATGTCGGGCTTCCTTGATAAGGACGTCTTTAAAAGGCGTAAAAAATAACATTGGCGAAGCCAGGAAAAATTCAGACAAAAATATTGTAAAATGTATTCTAATAACCCGCGATAACGTTTAAAATGGCTTGATAATGTTGCCCTCGCTCCGGGCTCAATGCCAAGTGAACGCCGGGGACGCACATTTTCGTCTGTTTTTCACAGAAATGCACATTTCAATGGGCCGAGATTTTCCTACTCGTTATACCTTGAAAGCCTTTTGCTGGTAATTGTTCTAAATATCTCTCATAATAAATTGGCTTGTTACATGTAATGACGTCAATTTTCGTATACGACAATGTACGTAACATAAAGAAATGAGAATAGAATCACCTTAGGGCTGTTTTGAGATGAAATTTGTCTCGAAGTACCATTCGTAACGACTACATGGAGATTCTACTAATAAGATTATTATTTCCTATAAATAACAATTAATATATGAATCGCAAACTACATTTTTACAACTTCATAAGTAACGTCTCTTAACGTAATAAAGTTAAATAATTTAAATGTTATATTGAACTTATAGTATTAGGATAGCAGCGCTGTGAAAATCTAACTCCCTCAGCGATTTTCAATACTGAGTTTTGTACCACGCGATCTGTTTCGACATAATTACTAGTGATTTTGGAATAACTACAAAAGCGTTATATTAAGATCGCTTTCACTATTGAAAGTTACTTAGTACTGGCCAGTGTTCAAGTGAATTTATTATTATACTAGCATATTCGGCCAAGCGTTGCTGTGGCTAAGGTTTTTGTTATATTACATTACAGTAGTAAACTAATTAAGGGAAAAAGTAGGAGAACGCCAGTCATGGGGACCACCATGCTTTTTTGGTAATAATGCCATTAAATTGTAGCTTATTTGAAACGTTGGTACTTTTAACACAGCGCCATCTGTTAGAATTGTGTCAAATTATAAAAAAATAATTTGCAATAACATAATATTGCGGGTATAAATTAAGATGTAGGCTATCCTATCTTTTAAGTTACATCAAACTACACACGGTGTGCAAATTTGATAGAAATCGGTTAAGTAGTTTAGGAGTCCATAGCGGACGAACGACGTGACGCGTAATTTATATTAAAATAATATGTATTTATTAGTATCACTTTGCGAAATACAGTACAATTATAATAATTAAAGATGTCAACGATATTCTTTTGAGCGATCAGACTACCACTGTCAGAAAGATAAAAATATTAATAGCCTTCTATTTTACTTTCGATTTATAGTGTGTGTCTATCACGGTAACTATCGAAACGGACTCATTTTGCCTAATTTCCAATCGTGGACGACGTGACATAGATATATTAAATGTAGATAGTTATGAAACAAATTTTAACAGGCTAAACTAACGATCTAGAAAACGACCGCTAATTATGGATATTTGGCCTCGTTCCAAGCCAAATCATTTCACACCTAATATTTATTAATATTCCCTTGAAGACGTGTTTATTTGTATTCGAATAAACAGTTAGAAATATATACTATTTACTATTTATAATAGGCTTACGTATATATATTTTTGACACTATGACACGAAAGAGAATATGTATAGTATAGAATAATAGTTCGGTGCTTTCAAGTATTACGTAACGCAATTTTTTTGGTAATAGGAGGCAAACGGGCAGGAGGCTCACCTGATGTTAAGTGATACCGCCGCCCATGGACATTCACAATGCCAGAAGGCTCGCAAGTGCGTTGCCGGCCTTTCAAGAATTGGTACGCTCTTTTCTTGAAGGACCCTAAGTCGAATTGGTTCGGAAATACTTCTGTGGGCAGCTGGTTCCACATAGTGGTGGTGCGCGGCAAAAACTGCCTTAGAAAACGCTCTGTTGTGGAACGACGGACGTCGAGGTGATTTTGACATTTCAAGTCACTTACAATTAAGTTTGCAGATGTCCATAATACAGGCGTACAACCTCTTGCAGTATGGTATTTCTGTAGCATTTTTTATGTTATGTAAAGTTCATACATAATCCTTTGCAAACGGAAAGTATGTCGTTTAAAAAGTAGCATGCTATTTCGCGAAGTGGGCTGGACTTCCCGGTCACGAACATTCGTCATTACCTGAAAAACCTTAGCAATACGTTGGAAATATTCCGTCCATTATCTAATAAATTCAAGAACACATCAATTGTCTGACGTCTAAGGTATCGTGAGGTATCATATGAGGTATAACAATGCTTTTGCGTGACCTCCAAAAACAAACGATATAAAAAATAAAACAGTATAATTACCATATATAAAGCAGCAATGGTTTAGTGGTGTAAGCGACAAACAAACATAGGTTCAAATCCCTGGCACCAAAGGATTTTTGCGTATTCAACACTTGCTCTTACGGTAAAGGCTAATAAGATATAAATAACGTATAAAATGTAAAAAAAAATCTAATCTGTTTTTGTCAAGAAATGAAACGGGCTTTTTTTACTTTTTATTTATCTATTTATCTTACAGTGAAGGTAAGGAGGCCAAAAATTTATGACGTAGGCTTTAAGAAACGTATTCTAAAAAACAGATGCAGCGCCATATTCTTCCATTATTTCTTAAATACAGCGGTTTTTTGATCAAAATGCATTTGTGAAACGCTTTATGGTATCGCTTTAGCTCTTATTAGTCAAAATATTGTTGATTTTGTTGAATAAATGGGCTTATTGATACATACATTTTAGTGTTATCGGTCAATTGAAATGTGGTTTGCGATGGCGTTGAATTGTTCATATTGAAACATTCGGCTAAACATACATTTCAATTTATATTATTTCTAATGGAAAATATCGGAAATTATCACATTTGATAGGGTAAATGTAAATATTTAATCATATAACATAGTTATCCGTAACAGTTTGAACTTATATGTGATGCTAGTAAATACGTTTTAAAAGTTTAAATTACCTTTATACATAGGAATTACCATTTCAACGCACGCTGGAAGTTTCACACTTTCGTTAATGACATTCCCCAGTCGCGCTGCATGGTTCGGATCGTCGTTTCTTCCTTAAAGGTTATATATAATAACATTCATCCACACACTAATTCATGCACTCAGGCGTGTTTAAATCCTTTGAAAAAACAAAAATAATAAATAAAAAAATGGAATTTACTATTTAGTTTGTTATGGAAGAGCTGGGAACCCTGACACAGGTATTTTTTTACTTAAAATGGTTCCCAAATCTTACAACATTATAATGAATTGTTGTCAAATGAATAAACACATTTTTTTATTTTATTTTTAGTTTTTAATATCCGTATAAAAAAAATCTTTCTAACATCTGGACAGGGGTGTTCTCAAATAGGCCGCATCTCACTAAACATCAGAGGCGATTGTTTATTTATTTAAAATGGGTCAGCTAACAGATTTGGACTTTACTCACATATCTAAACATAGGTTCTTTGCACTATAAGGTATAGGTACCGAATAAGATTAACTGACACAGCTTACGCTTAATAAGCCAAATGAAGTCCGCGGACTCCAGCACTCACGAAATTTCTCAGTATTCCATTGACTAACTTATATGATATTATAGGATTGTAAAAAATCTATACAATTTCTTTAAATTCTCTTCCAAACAAGTCTTAAAGAACGAACACACAAAAACAATGTCAATCAGTCGTTCGGAAGCAATGTTCGTTACGAAGATTCACTTTTGTTTATATTTGTCAGAGCAATGGCGTTACTGTCAGCTGTCATTTTCATTATGTCACAGAGCACATAAATTAACAACATCAAAGTCAAATTTACAAACAGTTACAGTTTACAGTACATACTAGTGGTTTATTTGATTTGCCGATATTGCTAGATCAATAAACTAACTACTATTTTATGGTCGATAGTAATAGTGATTTCATTATTATTATTAAAAAACTTATTAGCACATTAAACCTTTGAAACTTAAAGACAATCAACATTAAAGTAATCATTTGACACTTGTTACTCTGGTAGTACACGTTGCGGTTCGACTAGTACACAAAATGTGGTGGTGTGATGGTGCGGTCCTGAGTTCGAGTATGCGGTCGAAATTTATCTGCAGATCGTATTTTTATTAATATTTTGCTTGTGCTTTCTATTCATTGTTCAGGTTCTCGTGCTGCTTTGTCAACAATCGGTTCCTCAAACTCAAAATATCTTTTATTCATATAGGTAAACAAGTACATTTACGAATGTCAAAAAATAAGTTAAATTAATTTTAAATTTACATTTACTACCAGTTCGCAAGTCAAGGGCGTAGATCGGGCAAGAAGAACTGGCAAGAAACTCTGCCACTCTTTTTAATCGCTAAGTTTTGAGTTATACAAATTGTTAGAACTGGAGCAAATCAATCCCAAAGATTAGGATCATTTAAGTATTCGTCAAATTTATAAAAAGCTTTACTGATTAGTTAACGTTTAACGAGGGCTTTATTTAGTGATAATTCTCTAATTTCGCTTGGGAGTTTGTTGTAAAAACGAATACAATTTCTATATAAGGAGTGGTTTCTCTTTTGGAGCCTGGTTGGTCGTACCTGTCCTGTCGTTAGACGATACTTGTAACCCTTGACCAATGTGCCATAATTTAGGCACTCGTTTCGCGTTTCTATGACTCCTTGTGTTTAATTTATTTCCCACGTCATATTAATGTGCTGCATGCAATGAATAAATTTCCTCCCCTCGATTGAACTGTGAACTGGATAAACCCTAAAGT